CTGACTTCGTCAAATTAGACTTAAAATGCGTAAACGAAACTTGAAAATTTCAAGATTGCGCTCAAGAAAGTCAAACTTGAAAAACTTAAAAGGCGTTGATTTGAAGGCGGAATTGGAAAAAAACTTTGCAACCAAAAGAGGCAGAGTACTTGAAATAATACTTCTGAGTTTTATACTCTAAAATATTAACATACAAAAGTAAATTAAAAGGTGTTACAAAAATAACAATTTTTATTTTAGAATTTTTTTCAGTAAAACTTGGTAATTTAATATAAAAATCACTGGATTTAAATGAACATGTTTGTTTTACCTTCTATTTAGTCCAAGTTTTTACTCTAACTACGACGTAACAGCTGCTTAACATTCAAATGGTATATATGCCATGCGGTTATCAGCAAAGCATATATGTCAAAGCTTTTAGTATTCATTTTTTTTGTTGAAACTTTTATTAAAAAAAAAGTTTATCTCCAACAAGGCTGCTAACAAACACTAATTACGTTGGGAGTTAGCGGCAAATTAATTAAAAATTATGACAACAGTTTTCAATACCAGAACAAATATGATGTACATAGAGAACAAAATCTGTATAAGAAAATGGTTAACAAGAGTTAGATTTAAATGTACAACATTTTTTTTATAGCGGTTAACAAGTCAGCAGAAAAACAATAGGATAAAAATCTGTATAGCTTATGGGCGGATCCAGCATTTCATGGTCTTTGAGCTAACTTCCAGACACGAAGCGAACTCGATAAAAATAATATGTTTATACTTATGTGCAATCGGGATACTTTGCAAAAAATTGCATCTCAGTTAGAGCTGACTCGTATAATTTAATTCTATTTTGAAACTTTATGGGGGTAATGCAATTTTAGAATTTAAATTATTTAGATTTTAAAAAACTTTAAAATTCTTAGTACATTTTTAGGATACTATTGATACAAAACAAACTTAACTATCTTTCTTGCTCTTTATATATAGCATTTTACAATATGAATATTATTATATACCAAATGACCAAATGAGTCACTAAAGTTCATATTTGAAGCAAGCTCTTTTGATATTATCAGAAAACTTGAAGTACCAGAGGAGCCAAAAAAAATAAATTATAATGACATTAAAAATAAATATACAAAAAAGTATTGACAGTGTTACATATTATTACATTGATTTTAACAATATTAAGGATTATTTTATTAGACCATGTTTTTGAATGTTTTTTATGGATTGAGTTCTAGATTTACTTTATCTCTAAAAAAGATATTCTTTGCTAATATATTTCGATTATCTATGTTTTTATTCTTCGATAAGTTAAATATTTATAAAAAGATTAAGGTCACTATTTTAATTTCTCCTTCAAAACCTGTATAGGCTTTGAAATCATTTTCCTCATTATAATTTTACATATAATCATGTACCCAAAGATCATTTTTTAGAAAGGTTGTGAAGCTAAGCAAGGTACTATGATGTCTATAAAATATTTTGGTTTTGATTTTGTAAAAGGATATTGCAAACAAATTCCAAAAAAACATTCTACTGTCATACCTCTGCTGATAATATGGGGTGCTGTTCCCTATAACATGAACTTGTTGATGAGCTTCTAAAATCTATTTAATGGCTAAGTTGGTAAAATCTTGTGATCCTTGAACTCATAGTACATTGAATACAAGCTAAAAAATTTCTTTCGAGGGTCCTTTATTTACTTGGCAGTTCAAAGAATGATTCCCTTTTCTGTTTAGATACAACTCTGCATCATCATCATCATCATCATCATCATCATCATCATCATCATCATCATCATCATCATCATCATCATCATCTGAAGATGATGATGATGATGATGATGATGATGATCCTACAGATGTACTTCTGTAAGTTTATCATTATCTTCCTGATGAACTTACAGAAAGAGAAATAGCATGTCGAAGCAAACATAAGATAAGTCCCTACAGGTAATTGTTTTTAAAAGTTACGTTCTAAATTTCTTTTAAACGTTTTTTAAACGTCTTTTAAATGTTCTTTACGTAAGAACGATTAGAAAACGTTTAAAAGACATTTAAATTACATTTAGAACGTAACTTTTAAAAATAAATACCCGCTGGGGTGTTTCTACTAATTTATAGTCATATATAAATATATATATATATATATATATATATATATATATATATATATATATATATATATATATATATATATAAATGGAGACGACCATGTATATATGTATACATATATATATATATATATATATATATATATATATATATATATATATATATATATATATATATATATATATATATATATATACATACACACATACAAATATAAATATATATATATATATATATACACACACATATACATATATACAACACACACATATGCAAAATATATATATATATATATATATATATATATATATATATATATATATATATATATATATATATATATATATATATATATATATATATATATATATATTATTATACATATACATATATACACACATACACATACATACACATATACATATATACACATAAATATATATATATATATAAATATATATATATATATATATATATATATATATATATATATATATATATATATATATATATATATATATATATATATATATACATACGTACATACACACATACACATATAAATTTATATATACACACATATAAATATATATATATACACACACATATACATATATACAACACACACATATGTAAAACATATATTTATATATATAAATATATATATTATTTTTTAATTAAAAAAATGAAAGAATGTACGTATTGTTTAAATTTAGTAAGTGCTTTTTTATAGCTCTTTTAAATATATTAAAAGATTTTATTTTTTTCATATTTTTATCAAGAACCGAGTTTCACAAGCGCGGTCCCCGATATGTAAATGAGAAGTCAGATTTTTTGAGTGATGTTAGTGGGATGTAGTAATTATTTATTGAGTGTCTGGTTTTATATTTATGATTAATAAGAGAGAAGTTTTTATAAAAATATTTTGGAATTAATTCGTTTTGAAATTTAAACATAAATAACAAGTTATGGTAGATGTTTAATTTGTATACATTTAGGGCGTTTATTTCCTTGAGTAACGGCTCGACACTCTCGTATCTATCCATGCCCAAAACTAATCGACTTGCTTGCTTTTGTTTTGTATTAATAGTTTTTAGGAAAGATGAGTGATTGTTTGCCCAGGCAATATTACAATAGTATAAATTTTTTAAACATATTTTATTCAAAAGAGGTTTAGTCTTATACATTATTCCTAAAGCCTTTGAGACTTTGATCTCGACTAGCTTTATTTGGCTTTTCCAATTTAAATGTTCGTCGAAAATTATTCCAAGTATTTTCATTGAAAACACTCTTATATTTTAATATTGTTAATAGTAAGTTCTGGTAGTAAAGTGGAAGATTTAGATGGTTTAGCAAACAAAATATATTTTGTTTTTTCAATATTCAATGAAAGTTTATTTGCTATAAACCACTCATTGAGATATCTTAGTTCTGTGTTTACATTACAAAAAATATCTTTTAAATTTGAGTCAGAAAAGAAAACATTAGTGTCGTCAGCAAAAATAATATAATTAAGTATTTTTGATGAAAAATAAATATTATTAATATAAATTAAAAACAGCAAAGGTCTTAGTATTGATCCTTGTGGAACTCCACAACTTTTTGACTCAAATGGGGAGCATGTTAAATCAAATGGTACTACTTGTTTACGATTTTCTAAATAACGTTGCAGCCACTTTAAGTTAGAGTGAGCTACTCCGTAATTACATAGTTTGTAGTTAAGAATCTTGTGGTTGACAGTATCAAAGGCTTTAGATAGATCTTGAAATATTCTGATTGTGTAACTATTAGTTTCAAAAGCATTTAGAATTTGGTTCGCAAGATCAATATTGCATGCTCTGTGGAACAGTTTTTACGAAAACCAAACTGTTTATGATAAAGAATGTTATTAGTTTCAAGATAATTGTACAGCCTGTTGTGCATAATACGTTCTAGTATTTTAGAAAAACAGGAAAGTATGGAAATTGGTCTATAGTTAGATTTTATCGAATCATCGCCGCTATCGGAATTATTTTTGCTAGTTTTAGTTAAAATTATAAAATGAGGTTTCTCAATAAATAGGTTTCTCAATAAATAGGTTTCTCAATATTCAGGCATCAAAAGTCATTTAATAGTTTTTAAAATGTCACTTTTGATAACTAAAAAAAAATCATATTGGAAAAAGCATCGTAATGTCAAAAAAATGTTGTTATGTAATAAAATAATTATTAAAATCATTAATTTAGTAGTTTTGAAACTTTGAGTTTTTTTGACATTAATCATCTTATATCATAGACACTATATATATTTAAAATGAAAAAGTAATTTAAGATGATCAATGCATATATGCATTATGGACCAGAATGCAGTTGCTATAACTAACGCAACATGCAGTTTGGCCAACTAAAGTAAAATGCTGTTGGCCCAACTGCAAATCTAACGCAGTTCGGCCAACTGAAAGAAATTGCTCTTGGCACAACTGTAAATCTAATTCAGTTCGGCCAACTAACGCAAAATGTTGTCAGCCCAACAATACTGGCTGCTTAGGGTATATTCATAATAATGTGAAATGCAAAAAAGTTACAACAATTAAAGCCAAAAAGAAAAAGGCCCTTACTTCTGCAATCCTCAGCCTATTTGAGAATAAAATTTTCAAAAATTTAAAAAAAAAAGTTTAATTTTATTTATACTATATCAAAAGTTTTTACTAAGATTGTCATTAGTATTAATTTTTTATTAATATTTTTAAAAATGTTTATAAAATGCGGATTTAAAGTTAATACTTTCAAAATTGTTTTAAAATGCGGATTTAAAGTTAATACTTTCAAATTGTTTTAAAAAACAAAAAACAAATACTTTGATAATATTATAGTGTATTACTTAATAATAATAAATTGTATTTTTTCTTAGAACAAAAGAAAATTATTGTGCATCCGGACACAGAGGATGAGTTTTCAATTCATTTTTATCGTCAAAATTGGCCTTTAACGATTGTATTCATTTATCTGGGCGTTGTTACGGCAGGAATAATTTTTTTGATAAGTTACTGGTATCCAAACCATCGTTTGAAATTTACCCACAACCGATGCAGCGTCGAAGAAGCATCTATAGTGCACATTCGTAAAAAAGATGGAGGGCAACGTTTTATTTCTAAAATAAAAATAGTTTCTATTGGAAGTTTTAATTTAGAAAACGAAAACAACTTTACCGAGTTTGAAAAAAAAATCGTCAAGGAATCAAATATACGGTATTTTGAATTTATGTTTTTGCGTTACATAATTTGCGAAAAAACCAATACAATAATTCCTTTAGCAGATGCAGATAAAAATTGGAAATTTTCAGACATTTTTTACTGTAAAAACGGAATCAATATTTTTTCGGTGATTACAAAATTAGCAATATATAATGTAAATTACATTGATGTACCAATAAAATCGTACTTCTTGATTTTTTTGGAATTATCTTTGGATCGTTTTTACATTTTCCAACTAGCCAGTATAACGATATGGTTTATTGAAGATTATTACTTATACGCTTCATTTATACTTATAATGACAATCATTTCATTAATGATGAATGTATATATGACTAAAAAAGCAATGCAAAAACTGCACAGTATTATACCCAAATCAAAAGAAGTTCAAACCCTGCGACCAATAGAAACGTCTTTTACAACTTCATTTCAGGTTATTACAAAGTCATCAAGAGAACTTGTTCCTGGTGATATTTTAGTCATTCCACTCAATGGAATGGAGTTACCGTGTGATGCTATTCTATTGAATGGACAATGCATTGTAAATGAGAGCTCGTTAACAGGTGAGAGCATACCAAGCAATAAAATAGCAATTGAAGAAGAATTGAACTCTGAGTCTTTTTACAATGTGAATTTATACAAACATAACACACTATTCAACGGCACAACTATTGTGCAAGCTATTTCTGATAACGAAGACAAAAGTGTCCTTGCTTTAGTCTTTCGAACAGGATTTTATACTCTAAAAGGTGAGTTGATTCGGTCAATTTTATATCCTAAACCAGTTCACTTGAAATTTTCAAGCGACTCAATGAAGCTATTGCTTTGGATATCATTAATGGCAATATTTGGTTTTGTTTACACTGTTGTTGTTTACAAAAAAGTAGGTGCAAGTAACTCAGAAATAATAACAAATGCTTTGGATTTGATTACTGTAATTATACCGGCCGCACTACCACTTATTTTATCCATCGGTTTGATGGTTGCATCTCGGAGGTTGCATAAAAAAAATATTTTTTGTATTGATCCAAATCGCATAAATATATGCGGAAAAGTTAAGTTAGCACTTTTTGATAAAACCGGAACTCTTACTGATGATCATGCATCTGTCATCGGGGTAGTACCTGTTATTAAAGGAAATATTAAACACTTTAAAAGTACTTCTGTTGGAATAACCGATACACACTTGTTCAAAGGTAAAGTTTAATTTTTTTTTTATGTTAATTATATTTGCATTTAAAAATACTGAAGAACACAAATCCTCGCTAACATTAAAAAAAATGAAAAATACGTATAAATAGGATTGGCAACGTTTCAGTACAATTGAATAAAGTAAGCCCTAAATTTATATAAGTTAGCTATTTTTAACTTATTATGAAGGATTTGTCTATCACAAAATTGATACCAACATGATAAGATAAAATTTATTAGAACAGAAATAAATGTTCCAAAAAGCACACAGGTCCAATTAGTTAGAAACTAACAGTTAGTGCTGGATTATTAAATAAACCAGTCCAGCTCATGGCCTAGTGCCTCTAAAAATTAGGGGTCCTCTAGAATGTAATGATACATAATATAGAAAGTTTGTTTTACAAATTTTGAAAAAACATTTTTTAATTTGAATAGTACTTAAATATTATATTTTACTGAGAATCAATCAATAATGAAAGTAATGCAATTTATACATTTATATATATATATATATATATATATATATATATATATATATATATATATATATATATATATATATATATACATATATATATATATATATATATATATATATATATATATATATATATATATAATATATATATATAATATATATATATATATATATATATATATATATATATATATATATATATATATATATATATATATATATATATATATATATATATATATATATATATATTAATATATAATACTCAAATTTGAATAATATAAATTAGTTAATAATTGAGCATAAAATATTAATTTGATAACCCTAAATAAAAATCTGTTACGGTTTTGGAGTTAAGAAGATTTGAAGTTTTCTTAAAACCGCGATAGGGAAAGCCATGACCCTATTTTTTTTTTTTATATCGTTCCTTAAAAACCTTCTTTTAATACCAAACAATATTCGCTTAACCTAACCAATTCGCGTAACAAACAGAAATTCTCATCAACAACTTTTTTACTAACAACTTTACAACATGCAACATTCACAGTGGAATCATAAAAAGCGAGATAAACAATCACTTTCCAATTTTTTTTATATCTGATTTTTAAAAATAAGCAAAACACAAACGAAAATAAAAAAGGTGAATAATGAATAAAATTGAATAAATTATAATGGTATTTTGAAACCTTCAACTTAAAATAAACTGGAATAATATATATATATATATATATATATATATATATATATATATATAATATATATATATATATATATATATATATATATATATATATATATATATATATATATATATATATATATTATATATATATATATATATATATATATATATATATATATATATATATATATATATATATGAAACAAAGTAATTTTTTTTTGAATTTATTATATATAAATTCAAAAAAAACTACTTTGTTTTATCTCTCACTCTCATTTACGAAAAAAAATAAATTTATCGTTAATAAAATCTTTAAAAACAGTAAGTTTTTTTAATTACTATTTTATAATATATTTAGTTCTAATGTATATAATTAAAGGCTTTAGACCGATCCAGACAAAAAAAGTATGCAATTTTCAAATATAATATTTATATAGATAATTTTAAAAATAATTCTCTGTTTGTTTATTATTTAAAAGTAATAGTTTTAGTTTTTGTTTAAACTGTTTAAGAGTTGTAAGTGTTTTAATGTCATTACTAATTATCTTATTCCATACCTTACGCCTTCTATTAGTTATTGAGAACTCCTGATGAAGTTTTTATGATGAAGTTTTTATGATGAAGTTTTTATGCTCCTGATGAAGTTTTTATGCTTTTAATTTAACTAAATCAAACATAAGCCTAGGCTTTGGTTACATAAGTCCTAAGGTTGTAAACAAAGTTTTTGATATTATTGATTACCCCTTTCTTTTTATTTGTAATAATTCTTTTAAAAGTTTTTTTTTTACGTATTCTCATTGGGCACATATTCGAAAAAACGCTTGGTTTCAATTGCTTTTTTAAAATCTTCTAAAACAAATAGACACACGTGCCAAGATTGATTTTGTTTGCCGTGAAATTAACAATTGCTATTTTTTATCAAAAACACTATCAAAAAAAGCTAAATATAATTGGTTTCACCATCATGTAAACTTAGTATTATATTATAATAAATTTCCGTACAGAATGTGAAACCAGTGATAAAAGAACGCGACATTTAAATTTGACTTTAAAACCTCAAAAATCACGTGTTAAACTCGAGTAAAAGTACCCGAAAAATACACGCGTTTCTGGTTTTTGCCTGGATCGTGACAAAATACTCGTCTATACAAGTTTTTTATTCCGAAAGTGAAACTAGATGTGCCGGCTGGGTTGAAGTTAGCGAGAATATTTAAAAACGGTGATGCTTCAACATTATCTAATCATAGAGCAATTTCAATACTTCCATGTTTTTTAAAATTATTTTAGAATAATGCATAATAGACGTTACAACTACATAACAAATCACAAAATTCTTATTAAAAATTAGTTTAGATTTAAAAAGGGTGACTCAACAAAATATGCAGTAGTCACATTTGTTAGCAAAATTTTAAATGGGCTTGAGAGCAACCAATATATTTTTGTATTTTTTGTTGTTCTTTCAAAGGCTTTTGATACTGCAAACTATGATATTCTTTTTTACTAACTTAAAGGTTATTGAGTAAAAAAAGTTAACCTTAAATGGTTTTGCTCCTATCTAAACAATATTTTTGTTATGACGGAACATTATTTGCGGTATTTTCCAAGAAATCTTTTTTAGGCCCATTAATGTTTATTATTTATATAAACGATATTTATCATTTAGTATACTTAACTTCAATCTTTTTACTAATGACACTCAAGTTTTTTGTATCCTCACTAACATCACGACAATCTTTACTTTACCTTTACTTTTTATGAATAGAGTTTTTTGACAATATCGATGAAGGGTTCAAAGCTAACAAACATTTGCTAAATACACGGCTGTTTCACTCGATATAAAAACGATGCTGACGTCACGAGTTTATAAAAAAAAAAAAAGGCATATCCGCATAAAAAGTATAAAAACTCACTGACTTTAAAATAGTAGTATTTTTTTTTTCTATAAGAGCAATATCTTCAAATAACAAAAATGTAAAAGATCTATCTTTCCTTGTTAAATAAATAGTTACATTAAACAGAATAAAAATAAATAATGTTAAAATATTGCCAATCATTTGTGATCATTTTTCTGTTTTTTGCGATATTTACGAAAAACCTGGCTTGGGACAACTAAGATGGCCTGACATAGCTAATGCTTGATGGTTGAAATTTAGAACACTTATCAATGAATGTCTTTTCTATCTGATTTTTGGTGCCCCTTTGAAGAAAATTAAACTTTCAATATATTTCTATTTTTAATTTAACCACTATCAAATCAAAATTGTAATTTTTTTGCAAAGGGCACCAAATTATCGAAATTGCAATCCTTTATACATATAAAAATCAAAAAATTATTTTCTGTATCTCTAGCTTTGTCAGGCCATGTCTTTAAACTTGGCTGGTTTACAACATTTTTTCTTTTTTTTATGCGTAAATTTTTGTTTCCATTTTAAAACAATCACGTGACCTTCAATAATTTACGAGTAAAAAAATAGCGATTTGCTTTACTGACATAAATATTGCCTGTTTCAGTTAAAAATTAGGTTTAAATAAATTTCTTTTTAAGTTAAATGATCTCACATTGCGTATATTTAATATTAAAGATCTAAAATATAATTTAAAATTTTTTTTTTGATAAAAAGTGACAACAAATTTCTAAAATTTAGCCATCATTTGGCGCGTTTTCGAAGTCGAAGAAAATTTTTAATCATTCTTTTAATGTCATATAGTAAAAAATTTAGGGGACTATATAGGGACTTTCACAGCGTGGGGGTTTAGTATATGACTTTTTAATAAGGGATAAATGAACATAATGGCGGTTTTGTTAAATTAATTAAAATCAGTTTTTCGTTATTTTGTTTTTGTAAACGACTTTAATAGACGAACATTGGATATTTTTTGTTGAAATAACTAGTATTACAAAGATATTAACACAATAAAGTGGTTTTGTTCTTTATATTTATGTTACAACAAAGTTAATACAAAAAAAGATAGAGATAGGAGATAGAACTTAAATAAAGTAATATGGAATAATACTTTGTTTTAGTTCAATCTTCTTAATTTCCATATATCGGACGAACGGATACATTTTTAATGGAGACAACAGTTCAAATCATTAACTTAAGTTAGCCCACCGTCTCAGTAATACAGTATAGTATTTATAAAAGTTAATGCAAAAAATGGTAAGTTGGATTTAAACAGAAAAAAGAACCAATAACTTCTGATAGATAAAAATAAAAATAATATGAAACAACACTGGATATTGTTAACAATCTAAATCGTCAAGAAACTCAAGCTATTATTTCATATCATCTCAAAAGTTTCCTACTTAAAGAATAATTTCAAAACTCTAATATAATAGATGAAAAAATATGCTATTTATTGTATTTATTAATTTATGTTATTTTCTTCATTATAGAGCAATAAACCTTTAAATAAAAGACTTAAAAAAGCTAATGCAGAAATACAATCAAAAAATAAGATAAAATTCTACATATGAAAGTAAAAGTTCTCAAAAATTTGAAAATCAATTATTTTTATTACAAAGTTACTAAAACAAAATACACTAACCATATACCATATAAAATAACCATATAAAATAATCCTGTATTAAAATTGTAAAAGCACTGGTTATTGAGCTTTTGATAAAATAACTAAATAATTTTTTTTTTTAACTTGTCTTCATGCATTGGTAGTTATGGGTTATATTTCACTAGTTTCCAAAAGCACATGTAATATTTTTTGTTGCATGAATAGCATTTTAAGTGACACTTTTTAAAAAAGTTGACCTTTATTGAGATTATCCTATTTATTAAAAAAGATTTCCCAAAATATCTTTCAAGTATGTACCTCAAACTGATATGCATATAGACTATACACAATTTAAAGATATAGATATAAATAAAGATAGACTGTACACAATTTGAAGTTCAATCTGCAATCTTTAATTTCAATACTCTTGATTTTTGTCATTACAAAAATACACAAACAGGAAAAGTATTATGTTATTTGATACATAGTTAAATTTAAGCATATGGAAGTTGTCTTTTTTCAGCAATATTTGTATATTTATATTATTTAATATCAGATAGTATCTGATATTAAATAATATAGAAATAGAAATATCACTACATGAGATTGTGAAAAATAATGTGTTACGTTATGCTTTCAAACTTTATCCTGTAAACAACAAAAAATCAGTTATTTTGATTTCTTTTGTATAGCCATGCATCTGAATTTTGTAAAACTTTTTTAAAATCAGTATATTCAATAGGATCAGCAGCGTATATATTCTCAAAGTTAAAATTTTTTTCTGTTAAATCTTTTTGTATACGTTACTAAATATCGTAAATAGATTGTAAAAATAGAAAATTGTTTTCTTTGCTTCAACACACTCCTTGTTATTATTTATGTAATAATTTTAGTACAACAATTTTTTTAGTACATTTTGTAGAAGTTATTTTTTTTTTGGAGAGACATATTATGTTATTAATTATGTTTTTTTTAGGAACAGTATAAATTTTTCCTTCTATTTCTCAAATAATATTACTTATTGTGGTAAACGTTTTGTTATCTGATTAAGTTAGTATTATAGATTCGGTTTCCTTTAACAATATAAAGATGCATTAAGCAAAAAAGAAGGCATTTTTGTGAAGGGATAGCTGAGATAGTAATGAAAATTTTACACTTGAAAACAAAACATTGCATCAATATGATTTGAAAGTTTGTTTCCTTTATTTTAGAATTTTTTTTTCTACATTTTTTTAACAGCAAGGCGTACTGAAATAAGTTTAGTTTGGCAAGAGATAGAAATTTAGTCTTTTTTACTTTGAGAATGTCATTTTTAAAGTCATGATATTTTTTCCTTTGCTTTATCAAAGTCTTTTATAAATAATAACAATGAAAGGAAATATCGACATTTTTTTGAAACCAACAATTTAAAAGTAATATTCTTGAAACCAACATTTCAAAATAAAAGATGCGCGGAATTTTTTTTAAACAAAACTGAAGCAAGACAAACTTGTTCCCCATATTGTGATAACTAACAAGCAACGTTAACGCCAGGTTAAACAAAATTCGTTTTAACAGTCACAACCTTTCTGGCAATTTTTGTCCGAAACTGCATTTAATTTTTAATAATTACATTAATTTTTCTGTTCTAAACTGCATTCTCTAATATTCAAAGTATACTTTTTAAAAATAGATGAAGTGATAGAAGCATGCGCTAAGTCTTTTATATTTAAAGTTTTATATTAAAAGTCTTATATATATGTATATATATATATATATATATATATATATATATATATATATATATATATATATATATATATATATATATATATATATATATATATATATATATATATATATAATATATATATATATATATATAATATATATATATATATATATATATATATATATATAATATAAATATATATATATAATATAATATATATATATATATATATATATATATATATATATATATATATATATATATATATATATATATAATATATATATATATATATATATATATATATATATATATATATATATATATATATATATATATATATATATATATATATATATATATATAATATATATATATATATATAATATATATATATATATATATATATATATATATATATACATATATATATATATATATATATTATATATATATATATATATATATATATATATATATATATATATATATACATATATATATATATATATAATATATATATATATATATATATATATATATATATATATATATATATATATATATATATATATATATATATATATATATATATATATATATATATATATATATATATATATATATATATATATATATATATATATATATATATATATATATATATATATATATATATATTAGGGCCCTTCGAATCGGCAATTTTTGTTTCGAATTGAATCTCGAATCAAAGCAGGTCTTGATTCGCGATTCAAATCATGTTTTGAATTGACATTTTGAAGTCTACATTTAAGCATTTTTTATTTAATATTTAATAAGCAATTTAATGTAGCAATAACACATATTTCAAAATAAAATAAAATAATGAAATTGTATAATCTCTTTATTGATACTTCTTACCCTGGTTAACCTTTTTAATGACTGAATAAAAAGGTATTTTAGAATAAGTAACGTTATTTCGATAGCGCCAAAGCGCAGAATATCTAAATTTATATATATATATATATATATATATATATATATATATATATATATATATATATATATAATATATATATATATATATATATATATATATATATATATATATATATATATATATTAGGGCCCCTTGAATTGGCAATTTTTGTTTCGAATTGAATCTCGAATCAAAGCAGGTCTTGATTCGCGATTCAAATCATGTTTTGAATTGACATTTTGAAGTCTACATTTAAGCATTTTTTATTTAATATTTAATAAGTAATTTAATGTAGCAATAATACATATTTCAAAATAAAATAAAATAATGAAATTGTATAATCTCTTTATTGATACTTCTTACCCTGGTTAACCTTTTTAATGACTGAATAAAAAGGTATTTTAGAATAAGTAACGTTATTTCGATAGCGCCAAAGCGCAGAATATCTAAATTTATATATATATATATATATATATATATATACATATATATATATATATATATAAATATATATATATATATATATATATAAATATATATATATAATATATATATATATATATATATATATATATATATATATATACATAATATATATACATAATATATATATATATATATATATATATATATATATATATATATATATATATATATATACATAATATATATATATATATACACAATATATATATATATACATATATGTATATATATATATATATATATATATATATATATATATATATATATATATATATATATATATATATATATATATATATACCACTATGTTTTTTTAGCAATGTCTACGTGTCACAATATGTCAAATGTCGGTGCAAAACTTTCTGGAGATTTAATTGATATATGTATGTTTGAATTTACTAAATACAAGTTTCACGATTCAAACTTGGAGAGTTTAATGATTCATTTCAACATTCCTATAAATTTCAAACCACATGTAAAAGCTTTTGTTTCATCAGAAAACCAGAAGCCATTTGCTATTTTAAAGTATTTTCCATTTGAATCTTCTTTGCAGAGGATGAGCGTTGTAACTATTAATGATAACGATTCATTTAATGTTTATACAAAGGGATCCCCGGAAAAAATATTGTCTTTGTGTAATAATGATAGTATTCCTAAGGATATTAAAGAAGAAATAGCAAAGTATACTAGCGTAGGTAACCGTGTTTTAGCTGCAGCACATAAATACATTTCATTTGTCACTGATTGGAGCGAATTAAACAGAATTTCTCGAAATGAAATAGAATCAAATCTTATCTTTTCAGGTGTAATTATTTTTGAAAATGCCATAAAACCGGGTACACATGATACAATTAAAATACTTTCTCAAGCAAATATAAGAACAGCAATGGCGACTGGTGACGACCTACTAACCGCATCTTTTGTAGCAAGAGAAATCAACATGGTAACTCCTGATCAAGATCTAATTGAGCTTACATTTATAGAAGAAAATGAAGTTTACAAAAAATTAGAAAATCATAAAAAAGCAATATTTTTAGAAGAAAATAGTACTATTGAGCTGCAGCATTCATTAGACTATGATACTCAAAGAACAGCAAACAATCCAAAGTTTGCACTTGCGCTAACTGGAGATTCTTACGAAAAAATTCATCAACATAAACCACACTTACTGCCTAAAATTTTGGTTAGTGGAACAGTATTTAGCAGAATGTCTCCAAATCAAAAAACTACTCTTGTTAAAGATCTTCAAAATATTGGCTACGGTGTTTGTATGTGTGGAGATGGAGCAAATGATTGTGGAGCGCTAAAAGTAGCTCATACTGGTAATAAATTAGTTTTACCTGTTCGAAATAATTGTCAGGTTTAATTTTAAGGAACTAGATTAAAAATTGTAAGCTAAAGGAAGTTTATATAAAGAAAATTTTTTAGAAAGATACGTTCTATAGGGCAATTAAGAGTAAATTATATTAGGCAAACTCCAAACCTAGGTATGTTAATGCCTATGTTAAATGAGAATGACTTACAAAAAATCGCGAGGACGTCTGTAAACAAAAATACTTTAAAACAATTCCCTCTAACCACTTAAGTGAGGAGGTTGCATATTTTTCATGAAAGTGTCATGTCTTTAATTGATTAATTTATTTTTTTTGTCTACATTTACTTTGCTTTTTAATAAGTAAAAATTAAGATATATATACATTAAAAATATATATATATATATATATATATATATATATATATATATATATATATATATATATATATATATACATATGCATGTATATGTCCGTAAAACAAAGAAGATGGTATAAACTTGTCATTAAGTACCGTTTTTGTATATAAAATATAGTTATTACAATGATTTTTATTAAATACAGTATTATTCAGAGATGGGCTTGAAGAAGATGACGATGACAATACGTCATCGCAATTTTTTCATAGACCTTCTCCCCCCCTCCCTCTTAATACAGATTTGATAGTAGTAAAATTACAGGCTGCTAAGAGCTTTTGCGATGCCCGGGTCCAAAAGTTTAATGGATGCCTTATCATACCTCAGGTCTTAAAATGATAAATAGCAAATAAATTTGTATAGTTGTTTTTTGTTTACTTTTATAGAAACTTTAATATCACGTTTAATCAATTTTAATTTAATAACTAACTATATTAAAAGTCTTAATAGACGAACACATCTTCCAGGCTTATAAGCGGCAAAATTTGAAATAACTTCTTTATAAGAAAAGTTATTGGCTAAATCTGATTCAATTAAAAAGACCAAATTGCACAATCGCTCATGGCCCATTGTGGAACAAAGATAATCTTTGTTGATAGCTAACTAGCAAAAAAAACTTGTTTAATTCCTTTTGCAATATCTAAGACATTACACTCAAGATTTTTTGATGCTCCTTCGTAACAAGCGGTTTCATCAGGAAAGATTTTTTTTTTTTGCGTTCTTTTCATAAGAAACATGATTTCATCAAATTTCAAGTTCTTTGCAGCTTCTTTACCTCAAAATCAGGTCCCAAGCAGAGGCGAATTTAGGAAGGGGGTGTTTAATGCCTCTGCTAAAGACCATTAAGAAACCAGTCAATATTTTTTATGAATTCACGCCATAATCCTCATTTCATTTGTAGAATCGCTTTTGGTCCCAAGACAAACGGTTTTAATCCAGATCTGTCAAAATACCACTAAAATCTTTACTTTATCATCGAGAATCAGTTGAGTGGATTGAAGCAGAAGATTCACGTTTATAACTGACATCAAACGTTTAACCTAAAAAATAGTGAAAAAACAAATTCAAAAGATTTCATATATTTAATTAGATAATGCACTTCATAACTATTTTGCATCGAAACTCTTTTAAACAATGTAATGATTGCACAATATCTCTTGGCTTGATTGCTGCAATCCTTGAGCTCCATTGTGTAACAGAAAGCTTATGTAATTATTGGCCTGTCTCCTTCAAAGAAATTTTCCAAAAAACTGGGCTGCAGCTAAACAGATTGTAGAGCTTTTGAATATTTTCAAAATAGGATTTTGCAGGAGCTGAAGACTCAATAATGTGTAATGCACATAAGTTTAAACTGTAAATCAAAATTGCTTCGATTATTTCCCCTAATCAAAGCTTGAACTAGATTTTAAATAACTGCCATATTAGGGCCAACTTTGTAGCCTTAATCACTACAATTAAGTTAGTACATTATGTCATGTTGCTTTCTATTGGTAGGATAGCTTTAAATTCAAAATAGTAAGTTTTATTAATTACCCCGTAGTGCTTTAGTATATCCAAAAAGATGTAGTGTTTTCCAGATTCAGTAAAAAGATTTTCATAATTTACATTTGAGTAGCGTAAAATATTTTTTATCTTAAAATCATATTATTTTAAAACATAAACTTTGAATCCTACACCTTTTTTTCCACTTCTTTGTGGATATATTTTATTTATATAATGGCAAATTTTAAATGGAATTAAATTCAAGAGAACTTCCTGAGGGACTGTTCATTTGTATAAAAATCATTTCGCCAACTGAGATAGAAAAAATAGCGAGATATTGCCTCTCTTTTAAAACTTCTACAGTTTCAAAACTGTGTACATATGTAAAATTATTTACCCCGGCTAGACGATCTCGCCGATGAACTACCGGGATTCTGGTTAGGCGGGGTGAAAATTTCTCACATGAACACAAGCTTCCGAGTATATACATATATAATAAATATATATGTATATAATTATATATATATATATATATATATATATATATATATATATATATATATATATATATATATATATATATATATATATATATATATATATATATATATATATATATATATATATAATATATGTATATATATATATTTATATATATATATTAAATATACTTATATATTTATATCTCTATAGTTTTATGGTAATTTATATATCTATGGTTTTATCAAGTTAACAGCTTCGTTGTGTTTTTTTCTCAAAATTACGTAGAAAAAGTTTGTTGTAAACGAATCTTGCATAATGGTCAATTCGCCTAATTTTCAATTTAAAATATTCCTCCTCTCTAATGTCATTACTTTTTCAAAAAATACTTTTGTATTCTCAACCACGAAGCTTTCGAAAACTATTGTTTCCTCAACAACAAAATTTTCGGAAACTATTTTTGTATCCATAACCACGAAGGTTTACGACAATCTTTCGCTCACGTTTTTTTAGTTAACCTTAATCTATGAGTTTGTTAAATTTTAATATCTTTTTCGATACCAAGTTTAACGCTGAAAAATTGGTTTATCTTTTCTTTAGTAAGTTTCCAATCTTTTAATGTTCAAGACAAACGCCATTAAAACTTGATTAAGTACTTTCAAACTTTTGATTTATACTTAATATGGATTCTCAAATATATATATATATATATATATATATATATATATATATATATATATATATATATATATATATATATATATATATATATATATATATATATATATATCACTGTTGTAAAAATTTGAAATATTGCTTGATGTTATGAGCCAAAAAAATCCTATGGGGGTATGATTGTACTAACATTGGTGGTTACTTAGATATATTTCCCTAAATCTATCTACACAGTCCGTGGGAGAAAATCAATTTTTTAATTTTTCATAAAATTGCAATAAATACATAGTTAATAAGCAACTAATAAAGCTGGTTTCAAGTACTTTAATTCATCCCAAAAACATAGCAAAAATATTTATGCAGTGAATTCACTGGTAAATAACAATTTTCTTTAATTTTGAAAAAGTAAAGTTTCAATTCTAATTGCTTTTTTCTTGAGAAAAACGTCTAAACTTATTTGTAATATTCCTAATCAATTTTTTTTGTTGAAGTTTATGATGCATCTTTACAGTTAGTTTTCATACGCTGGGTGGTTCCTTGGTCTCTTGTATTTTTGCCAATCTGTAATAAAAAATGATGGATTGATTCAGTTGTTTGCTCTGAATAAATCCTTAAAAAGTTAAAGTGAATTGGATTAATTGAACATATTTTTCAGCATAACTGTCATCAAAGGCATTACCAAAACAAGCGTAGACATTACCATCAAAATTTCTTTGTGAGTCAATAAAGGGAACCGCAGGAAAGAAGGAGTGCTTCTAGGCTAATTTCTCCATAATATCAACATTTTTCAAAATCTTCCTGCAATGATTTCCAGTCAGTTTTCCACAATCAAATGGCTGCTATTGAATATGAAAACTCATGAACATGTGTCCAAATCTTCGAGAGAGACTGTAAAAAATGATATAAGACACCAAGCAACAGATGGAGCTCTATGGGTGGGTTAGGGTTAGGGTTAGGGTCAGAGCACAACAGGCATCAAGGATTCATCTGAGGCATTGATGATGGGTGCATGAATAGAGTTTCTGAATGAACTTCCTTTTTTGAAGTTAGCACCAACCATATTGAAGGTGTGCACTAGAATATGCTTGTAGATCACAAATAATATTAGCCAGCTTCATATCATAGGAAAAAATAAAGGAAAGTCAGCAGATTAAAAATTGGCTTGACATTGCTTCAGTTTTTCTGAAGATCTTTTATAATTGCAATCATTCTTTGCGGCTTAGCACCAGAACTTTTTTCCAGAGAGTTGTTGAGAAATTGTTTTGATGACTGGGATTGTAAAGCTGAATCTTTTTCCATGATTCAAAAGCTTACTTTTAGAAAACTACTACCACCATTCACTCCCAGGTTCACAATGTAGTCATCAACAAGGTTTCTAGTTTTAAGAATTTGAGCAATTGTATGGGAGACCAATGCCAACAATTGAAAAGCATTGAAAACATCTTCTTTTCATCTGAGTTCAGTTTTGCTTCAGGTTTCTGGGTTGCCAAGAATGGATGTAAAGATTTGTGCTTTGCTTTACCAACTAAGCAAATCAAACAATCACAAACGGATTCTCTTGTAACAGGACGGACTTTGATAGCGGAAAAGTCAAACAGCTGTGATTGGGTTTAAATCTTTCCCTCCTCAAGCCTTCTAGGGTTGGAGCAGCAACGCTCACAAATGCCTGTTGGGACTTTTGGATTGTAAAAGTCAATTGGCTGCTTTAGAATTTGTTGCACTTTTCTGTCATTAAGTTGATTAAAAAATGGCTGGCCTTGCCAAGACACAAAAAGAAAAATAGTCTTCCTGTTCTCCTCTTGGTTTTTGCCTAATTTGACATATTTTTTGTTAAATCAGATGTCAAATCTATAAATGAAAGTGGCTTGAACAACAAATGCTCAAGCTTTTTCCCAAAATATTATTATAATAGTTTGTTAAAATGCAATTTCAATTTTTTAAAATTCTTTTGGAACA